CCGGAGGAGCGTCTGGTGCGGCGGCGCACGCCCAGCACCCGCGCCCCCTTGAGTGCGGCGGCCCCGAGGCCTGGCGTTTGGAAGCGCGCCTCAGACAAGTGGCCCCGAGTTTCCTGCTGGTCTTTAGCAGGGCTCTGACCCGCGGAGTAAGTTGCCTCGCAGCTAGCTCGTCGGAGTCTGGAAACTCCCCTCAGAAATCTTCCCTTGGAGGGAAAGTTCACACCGAGAGTAAAGTCTCCGTACCCGGCCTCCTGCATTTCCAGCTCGTGGTTCTTACTCCACCTTACTTTTCTGCCGAACGTTTCTACTGGGTTTCCCCCCCATCTTTTGCTAGTTCAAAATATTTTACGGTATTGCGGACTACGGCGTGAGAATTCTCTGGGGCGAAATGAACAGCACAAGGATACTCAGTTGTGCTTAAGTAGGATCAGGAAAGAAGTAAAACATTTGTCGTTTTAGATAGCTTAAAGTAAACTGGAAAAATAAAGCCCTGTTTTTAGGAGACCATTCGACTTATTCCACATATTCCTTCTATTGAATATCTTCATTTGGGGTTCACGTTTTTTATTCACAGGGCTCCCTTGCTTGTAGTAGTGATGTTTGAGAATTGCATATTTTTATTTTATTTATTTATTTGTTTTGTTTTTTATTGTTTTTGAGTCGGAGTCTCACTCTGTCGTCCAAGCTGGAGTGCAGTTACTGCCACCGCAGCCTCGACCTGCTGGGCTCAGGTGATCCTTCCGTCTCGCCTTCCAAGTAGCTGGAACCACAGGCGTGCACCACCTCACCCGGCTAATTTTTTATGATTTATTGTAGTGGCAAAGTCTGGCCATGTTGCTCAGGCTCGTCTCAAACCCCTGAGCTCCGGCAATCCTCTCTCCTCTGCCTCCCAAAGTGCTGGGATTACAGACATGAGCCACCATGCCTGGCTGGAGAATTATATATTTTTAAAGGATAGACTCTTGAATAAGAAAGGCAATGTTTAGGCTAGTTAGAAAAATGAATTTATACTTTAACATACAATAATGTGAATGAGGAGTATGCTTTTATATCCTTAGAATGAGTCCATAATTTCAGCACTGCCAGTAACCTTAGAAATAGTGTAGAATCTTCCAACATTTCAGGTGAAAAAACTATCCTACTGAGAATAAGTGGTGTGCCAAGGTACACAAGTAGCATGGGACACAGGAGGAATTTGCCCTCCTGACTCCTAATTCGTTGTTCTTTTTAATATACTTGATTTCTTCTTTGCCTTACTCTTTTAGAGTTTTAGTTGTAAATTTTCTCAGATTGCATTTAACCCAGGACACTGTAGAGTTTATTCCTGCAAAAATTATAAATTATTCCTGGGAATATAACTGTCTTCTATGTAGGCCTGTTGAAAGCATTCTGTTTCTCTATGCTGCCCAGATGTGTGGGGGTTTTCCTCACACAACAAACACTTTTCCAGCACATGCCCACTGGCTGACCTCTAATTCAATGCAATTCAATTGTGACACATACCACCAGAAGTTAGAGTCACTTCCCATGGGTTAATGACTCAGTCCCTCAAGACTGCCTCCAACTTCAGAGGACAGTTGTGAGTAGTAGGTTGTGACCGACTGGCTGTGAGTCAGGGTTCTCACAGCCTGCTCCTTGAGTTCAGTTAGTTTGCTAGGGTGGCTACAGGACTCAGGGCAGTACGTTTACTGGTTTGTTATAAAGGATATTACCAAAAAATGGAGATGAACAGCCAGAAAGAAGAGATGAATAGGGCAAGGTATGGGGGAAGGGGCACACCACCATCCTAGTACCTGTAATCCAGAAACTCAACAAATTTTGTTTATAGAGCTTGATAGCCAACCCCTCCCACCCTCCCACAGAGGTCAGTGGGTGAGGCTGAAAGTTCAACCTTTTAATAACATGTTCTTTCTGATGGCTAGCCCCACCCTAAATCTCTTCATTAGCATAATCTCATGTTTGATCAAAAGTGGCTCATTATAAATAACGAATGATGAGGAAGTTGGGGCAGGTGGCACACATCTCGCTGGCTTAATGCACACCTTGGTGTCTGCATCACTCTGTTTCTTTCCCGGGTGACGAGATCCAGTGGCCCGAGATTCATCATTTCTGTTCTCAAGATCCGTGCCAGAGAGATCTTTGACTCTGTGGGAATCCCGCTCCACTATCGAGGTTTTTCTCTACACCCTGAAATGTCTCTTCAGAGCCGCTGTGCCCAGTGGTGCCTCAGCTGGTATCTATGAGGCCCTAGAGATCCAGGACAATGATGAGACTCACAGTATGGGGAAGGGTGTCTCAGAGGCTGTTGAGCACATCAATAAAACTATTGCGCCTGCCCTGGTTAGCAAGAAACTGAATGTCTTGGAGCAGGAGATCGACAAACTGATGATTGAGACGGATGGGATGCATAAGTTTGGTGCAGACGCCATTCTGGGGGTGTCCCTTGCTGTCTGCAAAGTTGGTGCTATTGATAAGGGCGTTCCCCTGTACCGCCACATCGCTGACTTGGCTGGGAGCTCTGAGGTCGTCCTGCCAGTCTCAGCCTTCAATGTCATCAACAGTGGTTCTTACGCTGGCAGCGAGCTGGCCATACAGCAAGTCATGATCTTCCCTGGCACGGCAGCAAACTTCAGGGAAGTCGTGCGCGTTGGGCAGAAGTCTCCCACAGCCTGAAGAGTACCGTCAAGGAGAAATACAGCAACGATGGAACCAACCTGGTGGACGAAGGCCGGTTTGCGCCCAGCGTCCTGGAGCATAAGGAAGGCCTGGAGCTGCTGAAGACCATGATTGGGAAGGTGGTCCACACAGACAAGGCGGTCATCAGCATGGACGTGGCCGCCTCCAAGTTCTTCAGGTCTGGGAAGTATGACCTGGACTTCAAGTCTCCTGATGACCCCCGTAGGTACATCTCATCTGACCAGCTGGCCGACCTGTACAAGTCCTTCATCAAGGACTACTCTGTGGCGTCCATCAAAGACCCCTTCAAGCCGGACAACTGGGTCACTTGGCAGAAGTCCACGGCCAGTGCTGGGATCCAGGTGGTGGAAGGTGATCTCACAGTGACCAACCCTAAGCACGTCAGCAAGGCCATGGGCGAGAAATTGTGCAACTGCCTGCTGTTCAAAGTGAACCAGATTGGCTCCGTGACTGAGTCCCTTCAGGTGTGTCGGCTGGCCCAGGCCAAGGGCTGGGTATCATGGTGTGTCATGTTCTGGAGAGACTGAAGACATCTTCATCGCCGACCTGGTGGTGGGGTTGTGCACTGGGCAGATCAAGACGGGTGCACCTTGCACATCCAAGTACTTGGCCAAGTACAGCCAGCTCCTCAGGATTGAAGAGGAGCTGGGCAGCAAGGCCAAGTTTGCTGGTAGGAACTTCAGAAACCCTCTGGCCAATAGGCCAGGGGCAGGCGAGCCCTGAGCCCTCATCATGGGGCGGCCAGGAGACCCCTCCCCTGACTCAGCATGGGTGGCTTGAGACCCCTGACCAACCCTTGCAGGGTTAGCTCCCATCATGCATGCCTGTGGTGCAGTCACCACTTCCTTAGAACTTCACAGAACCAAGCTTGACCACCTGAGTCCTGCCAGAAACTCTAGCGTTGCCATCATGTCATTGACCCAAATCATTGCTTTTCTCACCTCGCTTTCCACCAGGTGTCTGGAGCCACATGTACCTCCACTGTCATCTCCGAGGTAGCCACAGGCGAGATCCCCAGTGGTTTTGTGCATGCAATAAAAAGCTTCAGTGACCTAAAAAAAATAAACAAATAAATAACAAAAAGACACTCCGAACACTCAGAAGTTACAAGGGTTTAGGAGGGCTGTGACAGGAACTGGGGACAAAGACCATATATTTCATGTTCTATCACAGAGACAGAAGTAATACATAAAGCCTAGTGGATAATGGTGTCAACCAATTCATTCCTTATTTCTTAGCACTGGATATTTGATCTCTTCTGGCTGCAAGTAACAAAAACCAGCTCAGGCTAGCTTAAGCAAGAAAAAAAGAAAAAGTAAATAAATCCTGAAAGGTAGTGGTGCAGATGGTCTCAGAGACTAGGCCCAGCTATTACGGTGCATCAAAACTGCCTCTGCATCGTGTGTTCTTGTCTCTTTCTCAGGTTATCTGTGCTCTCTCTGGCTTCTCCAAGATGTGAAGCTTGGCCATCAGCTGCTTTAGGGTCACATCTTTATTGAGCTTGCTTATCAAGGAGTAAAGCACCTGTCTCTCAGCTACAGTGTTTGAAATTTAGAGGGATTGTTCACTGTAGTTCGCGTGTCCACCCTTTGGGTCAGCCAGGAATAAGTATATACAATGAGGGGCCCAATTTAGGTCATATTTGTAATTCCTTGGCTAGATGCCAAGTTTGTCATTGATGACCCTCTCACCAAGATCATAGCAACATTTCCACAGATAGAGGGTGCTTTCTAGGCAGATAACATTATAAATAGGGACCATATAAACATGAAATAGGGACTTATAGTTACTCATAATAAACTAATAACAATATTTTCTGATTTCCAATGAGATGTGTAAAGTATCAAATGGTCTTAGATAGGTAGGATGCCAGCCAGCGTTTTTTTTCACATAGGTCACATAGGAAGCAGTACAAAGCCAAATTGTAGTCCAAATCTTGCTTTAGTAAAAAATGGAATTCAAGTAAATTTTAGTTGAAGGCTTTTTAATGATTAATGTGATCAAGTTGTGATAGCTTGATGAGTCTATTGCTGCCATAAGAATATTACCTCCAAGTTTCCTGAAATATTGGTTAGGCATTCTTTATGTAAGTCAATACTGGCAAAAATTTGTATCAGTTTGCAAAAAGATTTTCAGTTCTTTGTTTGAAACTTTTCCATGACTTCCCATTGTTTTGAGGATGAAGTTCAAACCCTTAACATCATGTCCACAGTCCTTTGTGGTCTGGTGTCTGCCTACCTCTCTAATCATCATGAACGGCTCTTCCCCTTGCTCCTTCCTCTGTAAGCCCTAGTCATATTCATCTTCTCTCAGTTCCCAGGATGTTTTAATTTCACCCCCCACCACCTCTTTGCATTGCTGTTTTCTCCTACCATGGCTTCCAGCATTTCCCTTGCCCTCAATTAACTACTTACTCTTGGTTTAGATCTTGCTTTTAGCAACAGTTCTTCAGAGAACCTTTCCCTGATTTTGCCAGTTCCTCCCCCTCCTCTCCTCAACCCCCCCCATATTTGGTTTGGTTCCCCATGTACTGTGGCACTTGGTACCTGCCTTTGTAACAGTGATCCCACTTAAAATCTTTGGTTATCAGCTGTTTTCCATTATAGACTGAATCCTTTATAAAGGAGCTTAGATGTGAGGAAGAAAAAAAAGCTCACAGTACCAATTTTTAAGCTAAATGTCTTTCTCTTTTTGTTCTCTTTGTACAAAGATAGGAATTACTTACTCTCTGACTGAAGATTCCTTCCTAGCTCCTCTATTAGAATGGTGCTTTTTAACCATGACTAGAGTAGAATCACCCAAGGAGGTTCTAAACAAGGTCTGTGCCTTTTAAAAATTCTGTTAGAATTGTCCGAATGAAGCCTTGGTGTTGGATGGAGCAAGGCAATTCTAATGTGTAACCAGGAGTAAAAATCACTGGTTTCAAAAAATCTTACTTGAATGCTTTTCTGCCTCTCCATTCTCTGCCCCACCCCAACACTCTCTTTTTTACGTGACTGAAACATCTCCTTTTCTCCTTTGACTTAGCAGAGGTTAAGCTAGGTATGGTGGAGAGAAGCTATGATACTAACTTGTGTTTTGTGAACTTTCCTAGCTCAGGTTAGTATAGTATTCTAATTATTTTTTGGTCCCCCAGATTGCTGCTCCCACTCCTCTATGTAAAATTTGTGTTCTATCTTGGTATTGTATATGTAGGGTTTGGTACTGTCTAAGGTTTCAGATGTCCACCGAGAATCTTGGAATGTATCACCTGTGGATAAGGGAGAATTACTGTTTTTCTGAAAGTTTATGTTTTAATTCATCTGATGATAAGAGTTAAGTTTTTGCCAGGCACAGTGGCTCGTGCTTGTAATCCCAGCACTTTGGGAGGCAGAAGTGAGAGGATTGCCTGAGCCCAGGCATTCAAGACCAGCCTGGGCAACTTGGCAAGACCTCATCTCTACAATAAATTTTTAAAAATTAGGTATGGTGGCACATGTCTGTGATTCCAGCTACTTGGAAGGCTGAGGTGGAAGAATCACCTGAACTCAGCAGATCGAGGTTGTGATGGCCATGAGCATGCCACTGCACTCCAGCCTGGGCAATAGACTGAGACTCTGACTCAAAGTAAAAAGAATTAAGTTTTTATTTTATGTAATGGTTACAGTCTATATCCTTCATTGACTCATCTATTTGAAGGACTTGGAACAGTTTTTGTAACTTTTTTGCTATCCGAATACAATTTTATAGATCATGTAACTTGGCATTTGTATGAGAAGGAGGGAGAGATTCTGAAGTTTATGTTAATATGTGGTACCTTCCAGCTTATGTGGATGATGGAAGGTTTTTTACCAGCAGCTCAATTTTTTTTTTTTAATTGGAGTCTCACTCTCGCCCAGGCTGGAGTGCAGTAACACACTCACTCACCCCAGCGTTGACCTGCTGGGCTCCAGTGATCCTTCTGCCTCAGCCTTCAAAGTAGCCGAAACTATAGGCACGTGCTACCACACCTGGCTAATTTTTGATTTATTGTAGAGACGAGGTCTCACCAAGTTGCTTGGGCTGATCTTGAACCTGCAGACTCAGGCAGTCCACTTGCCTCTGCCTCCCAAAGTGCTGGGATTACAGGCTGAGCCACCGAGTCTGGCCAGCAACTCAATTTCTATCGGAATCATAGTGTGTTTCTTAATTAGGCCTTGCTTATCTGGCTTGCTTTGTTTTGCCAAATACAGTCGAACTGCTTGACTAATCATAAAGTTTAGGAAATTGATTCTACTAATCAGCTATAATAGTAATTTAAAAGAGCTCATTGGCTGGTTATATGGGAATGCCCCCACTAATGCTACAGTCTTTAAGTGATGGATTTTAGAAACAGTATGGGCAGGCCGAAGTTAAGAATGAGGTAGCACCATGAGTAGTTCCAAATGACATTTTCTGTGAGAGAAAGCTTTCTAGGTTTCAAAGGATGTGTACCTATTACAGTCAGTCCTAATGCTCTAAAGAAGGCTGCAAGCCTTTTTTTTTTTTTTTTTTTTTTGAGTCAGGATCTTATTCTGTCTCAAAAGGAGTGCAGTGACATGATCATGACTCACCGCAGCTTCAAATTGTTGAGCTCAAGCGATCCTCCCACCTCAGCCTCCTGGATAGCTAGCATTACAGGTGCATGCCACCACACCCAGCCTATTTTTAATTTTTTTGTACAGACAAGAAAAGTCTCTTACAATGTTGCCTAGGCTAGTCTCAAACTCCTGGGCTCAAGCAGTCCTCCCTCCTTGGCCTCCCAAAGTGCTGGAGTCACTGCTCCAGGCCCATGTAAAGATTGTTTAATTAGTAACCAGTGAAAAATCTTTCTCCCCTCTAAAAAGAAAAATCTTTTGATTAAATTGACAACTCATCCAGGTCAACATGCCTGTAATTCCAACACTTTGGGAGGCCAAGGTGGGAGGAGTGCTTGAGCCAAAGAATCTGAGAGCAGACTGGGCAACATAGTGAGACCCTGTCTCTATCAAAAATTCAAAAAATTAGCTGGGCTTGGTGTGTACCTGTAGTCCCAGCTCCTCGGGAGGCTGAGGCAGAAAGATCTCCTGAGCCCCGGAGGTTGAGCCTGTGGTGAACCATGATTGCACCACTGTACTCCAGCCTGATGACAGTGAGATTCTGGCTCAAAATAAAATAAAACACTCCAGAAAAGAAAAAGCTTTGTTTTGAGTGTCTTTTGGTATATTGCCAAGTGAAGGGGTTCACGATACGTCATCCCAAAATTTGACACCTTGTGTGTTTTGCAAAGCAGTAAGTGCAAGGAGAGAGTCTCTCTGAACGTCCCTTATCTGTCCAAAGACAGATCCTCCAACAGGAACTCAATTCCCTTTCCAAGAGTTTCATCAACCAGGAAAGATTCACTCTTATCACAGGAAGAAAGCAGAAGTAAACGCTCCACCCAGGCACACTTTGTCACAAACTGTCATTCCTTCTATGTGGGATCAAGATCAAGATTCATCTTATTTTCCAGACCTCTATCCGGTTGTTCTAGGATGAGTTGTTGAAAAAACTTTTCTTTCTCTATTAAATTACCTTGGTAACTTTCATAAAAAGTTGACTGCGTATGTATAAGTCCTCCAGACTCTATTCTTTTCCATTGTCAGGTTCTCATTCTGTTGCCCAGACTAGAGAACAGTGGCACAATCATAGGTCACTACAGCCTTGAGCTGAACAACTCTTCTCTCTCAGCCTCCTTAGTGGCTGGG